CGGCCCTTATTTGATTTTCTGCCCTCAGTTCCTCTCAATAAATATCCTTAAAGCAAGCAGAGCAACGCATTATCACCCGCTGGCTTCTGAACTTCACCCCAAATTTGCATCTCTCTGTTCACAAACAACTCTGACCTCCTCTAGACCTTTTCCATCTTTACTAATGAGTAGAGCTGTGAGATTTGGGGGAGTCTACCTCCCAGAGCACTAGTTCTCAGTCTCCTTTCTGTCTACAAATTCCAGATGATAACACTGACATACCCAAAATAACGATGTTCTGTTTGTGCTGCATGGACAAGATGGTATATAGGTAATAATTAGTTCCTTGCCTGGTTAACATGGAAAACACCCCAGTGTGCCTTAACAGTAGAGCTAAAACCTCTGGTTTTGCCTATATTCTCATCCTGGGTCTTAACTGCCTCTGTCCTACCAAATACACCAGGCTAGCTTCAGTGAGGAGAAAATAAGATGCAAAAAGATAGCCTGTGGTTCTCAAATTCCAATACCTAAAAGGCAGAACACTGAATTAGTGGCAGCCTTTGAGGCAGAGTGGGGAGTCGTGAGGAGAAAGGTTACATGTTATATGCACACGGATGTCAGCAATGTAAAGGTGAGGGTACAGGTGTGTTTGGTGTAGAGACATGATGCCATATGGAGACAGGGCAAGCAGTCTCTCCCTGATGTCTTGGGGCATCACACATATGGGGTGGGGGGAGGCAGCATGTATTTAAGCTAGTGGTAGGGCCTAGAGCCTCAGAGATGTTTCCCCATCAACTCACAAAAATGATGGTGCCTCTTCCTCCCTTGGTTTCTGCCCAGCACCACCAGCAGGTAGAGCTCTAGGCAGAAACCATTTTGTTCACCCATTCAATCATGTTTATTGAACACCCATATGTGGTGAACCCTGTGGAGCTTGGGGATTCAGAGATAAAAGATGCAAAGCCTTCCCCCAAAGGCTCACAGCTTAGAAGGGACAATCGAACAGGTAAGTCATTGTTAGCAAGCTAATTCCATAAATACAGTGAAAGAGGAAGTTGCTGACTCTTCTGGGAAAGCCAGGGAGTCCTCAGGGAGGACAGCAGTGTTTATCCAGGGAAGCTGGGCAAAGACACGCCAGGTAAGGAAGAGGTGACATCAGTACTACGAGCGTGGCTGAGGACTTACCTGATCTGCACTTTGTGCAAGGTACTTGAAAGCATGATCCCGTTTGTTCTTCAGACAACCCTGTGAGCCAGGTACTCCAACCACCTGCATATTACAGATGTGGAAACTGAGGCTCAGTGGTTACACACGGGTCCAAGGTCAGACAGACAGTGAGCAGCAAAGCCAGCGCTCAAACTCAAGTCTGAGTCAAGAGCTCACGCGGTTCATGCTGGGTCTTTCCAAGTCCTGTAGTGTGAGGAAATAAACAGGACAACAGGTGAAGTGTGAGTATTAAGTAGATTCGTGGGAGGACACGGTGGTGAACGAGGATCACAGAGGGCGAAGCTGCCTGTGTCCTCTGAGGACTTACATCTCACGGAGGACGTGGACAAGGGGGAATCTCCCAGCAGGACCCCAGCGGGTGGAGTCTGGGGAGTCAGCCCTAGGTGTTATGGAAACACGCTGTTACCCTACTGCGTGGCATAAATCCATGAACAGGACGTTTCACCTCTTGCTCCCAACCTGCACCTCTCCAGCCCTTTTTCAAATGTGGCTGCAACACAGAGGCTGGTTATAGTTTCAGAGAAACACAAAGGTTGTTTTTCTTTACTCCACTCATGCCTGGAATGCCCCTCATTCTACTGCCTCCTTCCACCCCTCCTCCCTACCTCCCTAAATAAAATAAAATACAGTCATAGCAGCATGCTCGAGTACCCAATATGTTCCTCCTGCAAGCTTGGTTAAACAAATCACATTGACCTTTAATAAAAATGTGCCCAATGCTTCCTTCTCTCATTCAATATGTTAATCTTCAGGCCAAACTACCATCAGAGCAAGCCTCATTAAGTGCAAATCTGATCATGCTACTCCTGGCTTCAAACCCTTCAGTGGCTCCACATTGACTCCAGGATGAAGCCCAAGCTCCTAACAGTGCAGAGAAGGACCTTCCCAGTATGCCTGTGCTGACCTGGCCAGCCTCATTTCTCACACTCTTCCTCCCCCTGCATTTCTTCAACCCCCTGCATCCCACGCACTAACCATCCCCAGGTACAGGCCACCGTCTATGCCTCCTTAGCACTTTCCCTAGCATGGCTCTATCTGCAGTGCCCTTGACACCCCACCCCTGCCAGCCACCAGTGATGACCTCCTGGCATTCAAGATGCAATTCAGGTCAGCTTCTTGATCCATCCTTTCCAAAGTCCCCCTCCACCAGGCAGAACTGACAACCTCTCTCTGGGCCCACTGCAGATGTGTATTACTGTCTCTGTGACTCCTTAATGCATTCACTTAATGTTCTGCTCACCACTATTGCCTAACACATATGAGGGGCTTAAGACACAGTCAGAGGCAAATAATGAATACACAGTAAACTTATTGTGTTGGCACGTGATCCAACTCCAGAGGATACATGAGTGTGTGCTCTGGGCACCATGGCTTTGTCATGGAAGCATATGACCATGCAGGCCACAGTGCAGACCCACCCAAATCATATTCCAATCACTACCTCTCTCCTGCACTTATCCTGTTTCCTTAGTGTTTTGACGGAAAGGCAGAAACATTTAAATGGAAAGTGAAAGAAAGTTCTTCCTCCCAGGGTTGGTCTCCAAACCCAGCCTGACCAAGCTCTGTTCCTCACGGGCTCTACGTAGAGAGAGCCCTAGAGTGGTTTCATTACCACATCTAGGGGAGTGGGAGGTGGCAGGGGGCAGTTTTGGGTGGAGCAAGTTTTATTTACATCACTCCATACCACTGGCTTGTTGATATATTCATAATTTAATTGACAAGCAAAGGAACACTGAAATTCTAGTTTCCTTGGCAAAGATGACTCTTTTTTATCAGAGAAAGTTGAATGAGCAATTTCTGGAGGAAGTAATGGAGAGGAGGGGGTCTTTTCCCTGAAAAATAGATTAGCAGCATTAATGCTCAGGGTTAGTAGGTAAATACAGGCCAGGTCAAGGGGCACTTATCATCCTGACATTATAGTCTACATATATTTATTTTGACATTTGTGGTCTATCTCTTTAACTAGAATGATGGCAGGCACTGCGTCTATCTTGTTCATTGCCTTATCCCTGGAGTCTAACTCTGTGCCCAGCACAAAGAGATGTTTAGTGAATATTTGTTGAATGAATGAATGACCCTGGTCTGGAGGTCAGGGCAGTTTCCACTCTGCAGTCAGCAGTTTCCACTCTGCAGTCAGCAGCTAGCTCTGTGACCTTGGACAGATTGCTTTGCCTCTCTGATCTTCAGTTTCTCATCAATAAGGATGTTACTATCTGCCTGACCCATTTCACTGGGTCAGCATGAGGTTCCACCTGCATGTAAAAGTCCCTCTTTACCATTATGCATGCACAACACTGAACTTAAGAGAGTACATCATCCACTCAAGATTAGTACTTTGCCACTGGGAGTTGAACACATGGATGAGAGAACATATGTGAATCCAGGGGGTCTGGGGAAGGCAGTCTTATCCCCCTGCCAGCCAGGCTTTGGGTCCTAGCCATGTGTTCTCCAGGTCTCCTGGGTTGACCACAATGGTGGGTGCTCATGGCACATGGGAGATGCAATACCTCTGGAGACGTGATGTGGAATCACTGGGGCACAGAAAGCAACTGAGGCCATGGATGTAGATGGGCTACCCCAGGACGAGAAGAGAAAAGAGCCTTGGACTGATCCCTGGTCACTGCATCACTGAGAGAAGCAGGTAGAAGACCGGGAGTCAGCAACAGAACCTGAGAAGAAGTGGCTGGAAAAATAGGAATATGAAATATAGTATTTGGGAAGTCAGGTCAATAATGTGCTAAAAGAAAGGAGGAGAGATCATGTGGAGAGAAGGAGGGTGAGAGATTCATTGCAACTTATTGAGACTTAAAACTCCAACACATTACAATTTTATAAAAATGCAACCAATACATTGAATTTGAAGAATTAGAAGGAAAAATACACCAAAATGCTATAGTCATTGTTTTAGATGATTGGGATCATTACTATTGTCTATTTTCTCTTTTTTTCATATAATCTTATATGTCATTTTCATCATTAAAAAACTATAGTTAGTAATAATGGATATATGAGTGTGAATACCTAAAACAGGTGTAAAGGCTATCTGCATGGGCTTGACAGAGAGGAGATCCACAAAAAATGAAATTAGTTGCTGAACTTAACCATTGACTCTTGTGGTAGGACTTGGTCTATTTTTCTTTCTAAAAGGATTTTCTTAATGTTCTTTTAATTAAATGCTGTTAATAAATAATAACAGTGATCAGATGACTTTTCAGAAGGTACTGAAGCCTTTACTGTCCATTTCATCATGACTATAATCTCTGTGGGTCCAGGTCTCAGGGACCATAACTGTGCCGTGGTAGACCACACCACATACAGTTCACCAGTACTCAATGCCCCATCCTTTGGGAGGAATGTGAATCCTCAAATCCCTGATGTTGGTGTTGGCTATGTGACTTCTTTGGCTACCAAAATGTGTGCAGAAGTGACATGTGCCACTTCTGGGATAGAAGTATTAAGAGCCAACATATGTTTCACCATAATTGCTTTTCCTTCTATCATTGTGATTCACAAAGGTCCAGATAGTGGCTGCTTTAAGAGCTGGGATCTCAAAGTGGGGACAATGACATGGAGGAAAGCCCTCAGCCAATCTGGAATGGACATGTTTGTGAGCAAGAAATAAACCTTTGTTGCTTAAAACAGTTGAGATTGGAGTGGGGGGGGGGCTGTTTGTTTTTGCAGCCTATCCTGACACATACAGTCTTCTGGAATCCAAAAGAGAAAAAGTATTATCAGCAATACCAGCACTTTTTCAGGAAACCTAATTCTTAAGTCTTTCTTATTTTCTTCTCTAGATGATGCATATTTACTACAGGGACTTAATATAGAGGAACTATATCCAGAGACCTCTAGTTTCATCACTTATGATGGGTCGATGACTATCCCACCCTGCTATGAGACGGCGAGTTGGATAATAATGAACAAACCTGTCTATATAACCAGGATGCAGGTGAGCTGCTCTTTGGTCCTTTAGTGGGGAAGATGATATGGCTGTATGGATGGAGTGCTTACTGTATTTATTAGTTTACTAGGACTGTTGTAACACAGTACCACAAACTGGGTTGCATAAACAACAGAAACTTATTGCCTCACAGTCTGGAGACTAGAAGTCCAAGATCAAGGTGTCAGCAGGGCTGGTTCTTTCCGAGGGATGTGAGGAAGAGTATGTTCCATACCTTTCCCCTGTTCTGGTGGTTTGCTGGCAATCTTTGGTGTTCCTTGGTGTGTAGAAGCATCACCCCAATCTCTGCCCTCATTTTTATGGAGCATTATCCCTGTGTCTGAGTTTCTGTGTCTAAATTCCCCTTTTTATAAGAACACCTAATGGATTAGAACCCACCCAATGACCTTATCTTAACTTAGTCCATTACATCTACAATGACCTTATTTACAAATAAGGTCACATTCTGAGGTACTGAGGGTTGCCACTACCTTCAATTTATGAATTTGGGGGTACACATTCAACCCATAACACCTATGTTTAAAGAGTCAGTATCTGAAAAGGCTTAGCATGAACTAATTACATAAACATCCCACCTGTCTGATTGAGAAAAGACAGCAGGATTAGTTCCCAAAGTGTGCTCTACAGCTAAAATAATGCATGAAACAAATAAGCAAAATAGATGATGTGGTCAAATGTGTTTGAAAATCCTGGGTTTTAAAGAGTTAAATGTATTTCATTATTGAGAGACTTCTCAGGGCCTTTTTAAATGACAATACATGTGTCAGTCTCCAAAAGGAGGTGATATGTAGCATGTCACAAACATATGTGAACATGGAATTTTTTTCAGATCATCGCACAGGGTTAGTATTCCTCAGAACTGGATGGACAGCAGATCGGTCCTCCTGTGTCAGCTTTGCTGAGTGACTCTTTGCCACTTCTGTGAAATGAATACTCCTCCTTTTAATAATGAGGGGAGACAATTCCATGACTTTGCTCTAGCTCTGACATTCTCTTTGAGAGTCTACAAAATTTAAAGGGAAGATGAGCAAAGGAAGCAGAGAATATATGTTCCCAAACCGACAATAATTTGAATAATTTGAAGTCTCTGATCCTATCTGTATTGATTGGGACTCACTGGGTGACAAACAACAGTAAACCCCTTCAGTTCAGATAGCTTAGCTTAGCAAAAGGATCTATTCCACAGATACAGGAGGGTCTCACGGAATGTAAGATCAGAAATTGATGTCAGGATCATATACAGTGTATATTGACAAAATAAAAAAAATAAAAAAATAAAAAAAAAATAAAAAAAAATAAAAAGAAATTGATGTCAGGAATTCACTGGAACCAGAACCCTGGAAGGCCTTTCTCTCTGATCTCTTCTTCTTACCGCATGTTTGCTGCGTTCTTCTCTCCTGCTAGGCACTGTCTTCTTTTGCTTTAAAGTTCTGTGGTGGAACATGACAGCAAACGTTATAGTCAAGCCACCTGACCCTGATATTCACAGAAAAGAAACCGAATTGGTCCAGCATAGTTTAGCTCTGACCCCTGGACCAATCACTATGATCTGGGTAATACCATGTGGGAATCAAGGAATGATTAAACCTCAGGGTGTCAGAGAAAGAAGGAATCCTACAGAACACCTAGCTGGATTTCCTCCTTTGAAAGCCGTTTCTTGCATTTGAGGGTGCGAGACAGTAAATGACTTGTTCAGAGACATATGAGCTAGTGAACTGGAAGTAAGGCTCACTCCATGCATGGAGGCCTTGGTGGCCTTCAGCTCAACTGAACCCTCATAAAAGGGGGTTCTAAGAGGCCTGTGCCCTTTCCCAGACAGCCTCCCCAGCTGGCTTGGCCGTGGTATACTTGGTCTTCTTCCATAGTGCCTTTAAGAGGACAGCGAATCTCACAGCTGTTTCTCTCTCCTCAGATGCATTCCTTACGTCTGCTCAGCCAGAATCAGCCATCTCAGATCTTTCTGAGCATGAGTGACAACTTCAGGCCTGTCCAGCCACTCAACAACCGCTGCATCCGCACCAACATCAACTTCAGTTTACAGGGGAAGGACTGTCCTAATAACCGAGCACAGAAGCTTCAGTATAGAGGTGGGTGCAATAGCCCTGGGAGCCCAGGACCCTGGCTGAGCTCAGTCTTTCTGTTTAGACCAGTTCCTAAAGGCTTAGCGTTATCTGCCATTGCAAGAATCATGCTTATAAATGACAATAATACACCACCCTCCATTGCAGGGTGCTTTTCTGTTGGTAGGCCCATATGTAGAGAGAAATGAAGGTGGCCAAGTTTTAAGGGTTTGATATATGTGATATAGGGATATATCATGTATATTAGACCTTTAAACCCTCTCTGCTTCAGGCAAGACAGGCTTTTTTATTGCCATTTTACAGAAGAGCCCAGAAAGGCGGATTTTCCCAAGGTTATCTGTTAGAACAAGACAGCAAAAAGCATTAGAGCTTTTAGTTATGTGCAAGATAGACCCCCGTTCTCCTGGAAGGTGAGCAGGTACTCTGTATGCCAGACCAGTGAGACCCAATGAGTTAATGTGTGCGGATGCATCTTTGTCCAGTGCTACATCCCTAGAAGTGGTTATTATTCCTGCTAAAGGGGGCATTTAAGATGACTTCTCCCTCCTATAACTCTTGATCACCATGGTAAACTCTCAGTGTAGAGAGGGAGATGGAGGCAGGACAGTGTCCTGGAGATGCCCTGGACTGGGAGTCAGGACATCTGAGTCCCAGGCCTGGTTCTCACAAGCCATGCAAACCCAGCCAAGCCATTTGCCCCTCTAGACCTGGTGTCATCATGACAGTCCTCTCCCATCTACTTCACAGCTTATTGTGAGGGGCAAATAAGGGCCTGGAGGGAGAAGTCCTTTGCAGCAATAACACGCTCCCCAAATATGGGGGCTGTGGTTATTAACAGGCAGCCTTTAGAAGCAGCCACCACTGCTGCCTCTTGGTCCCCACTTTATCTCTCTTACTTAGTTCCCTTCTTCCTTTTTTCTCTCAGACATATTCACAGAGTGCCAAAGATTTTCTGCTCCCTTCCAGCCAGAACTACTAAGCAAATACACATCCAACTCATTCATTGATCCTTCTCTTTATTCAACACCTATGTATTGTGCACCTGCTATGTGCCAGGCACTAACTGGGTGAGGAGAATACAGTGGTGATAAAGACAGATATGACCCCTATCCATACAGAGCTTAAGATCCAGAGCAGGAGTCAGCACGTCTTCAGTAAAGGATCAGAGAGTAAATCATTTTAGGCTTTGTGGGCCGTAGTCTCTGTGACACTCTGACGTTGTAGTGTGAAATCGGCCATAAACAATATGTAAATGAGGGGGGTGGCTGTGCTGCAATAAAACTTTATTTACAAAAACAGGTAGTATGCCAGATTTGGGCTGTGGGCCGTCATTTTCCCATCGCTGTTCTAGAGCGGTGTCATCCACTAGAACTTTCTGCAGTGATGGGAATGTTCTGTATCTGCACCATTCAATACAGCAGCCACCAGCCATAGGTGCCTATTGAACATCTGAAGCGTGGCTAGTGCAACAATGCAACTAATTTTTTTATTCTAATTAATTTAGACTTACGGTAGCCCCATGTGGCTAGTGGCTACCATACTGGACAGCACAGGCCCAGAGGGTCATGGAGAAGGGGGTAGTTGGGATACATATAAGTAAGCAGGCATTTATAAGACAGTCCCTTTCCCTTTCCCTTTAGATGAAGCTCCCAAAACTGTGTGCAAATTAATTCACTTATGCTTTGTTTTGTGTTGTGTGTGTTTGTTTTGTGTTGTGTGGTTCGTTTGGTTTTTTCTTTCTCTCTCTTTCCAGTAAATGAATGGCTCCTTAAGTAGGGACCAAGCCAAGAAGAATCCCACCTCAGTGAAATGCTACAACTGTGAATTAACGTAACCTAGAATGTTCCCCTTGTTTCTTCTCTCTTCCTCCTTCCCCCAAGCCTCATTCACTCTTTGGATTGGCCCTTTTTTCATGAAAAGTGTCTGCAAAACCATGGCAGAGGAATACATCTCTTATACACATTCACACAAACACACACACAAGCACACGTACATACATACATGCACATGCAAACATACCTACACACATGCACACTCATGCAACCTCCATGATGGGAAGTCAAGTTTCAGAAACAAAAGGCTCATGCATAAGAGGTCTTAGAAGAGAATAACCAGTTCACCTGATTACAATTTTGATACCGTTTTCCTAAACTCATCAATCTACCCAATGAGACTTTTCAGACTTTGTACATACAAAATTCTTCCAAAAGAGACGAGAAAAAACAGCTCTGATGGCATCAAGCGTACTTTGCATCAATTAATCTCAGTGAGTGTCCTAGGATCCTTTGAGAGTGCTGGTGACAGATGAGCCAGGACAGCATTGACCAAGGACACTTATTTCTAGATTATGATCCTTCTGTTTACTGAACAATTTAAAAAGAAGAAAAAAAAAGGACAGACATTGAAGAGCTACACATTGTATATATATGTCACCGCAGACTATAAAGAAATGGAATTATTTCCCCCTTTGTCACATATCTGTAGTAGGATTTGCCAAGATCAGAATTGATCCATTTGCTGTTTCTTGTTTTCCAAAGGTCATACATTGTGTTTGGTTATTGTTAACAGCTCAAATAAATGTGTTTAATGAGTTAATTTCATTTTCCTGGGTTTGGTCTGTTCTCCTTCCTTACAGGTTAAGCCCTGGCTCCATGCATCTCCATCCTATGATTTCACTTGTCCCTTCATCTACCTGTTTTGTTCATTTGCAGCCAGTTTTTACTGAGTTTGTGGCAATCAGGAATGCATTTGCTAAGCAAGTACAACTTTAATTCCACTTCATGGCTCAATCATTCATACAAGGTGAGCTCCAGCCTGAGACAGCAGGCGACAGATTCCTTGCGTTTCAAAACTGCCATCCCCCTGTGATGCTCCCGTGAAGGAATGCACTTTGCCTTGTAAATTCCTGGGAAAGGGGTGTCTTTTCTCTCCAGGTGCAGCCAGATTTCACAAAGTACAAACGAATGCCTTTCTTTTCTTGTTTATAATGGTCACTCACTGTGTTTGGTTACTGTCAAGAAATCAATAAATGTGTTTAACAAGTTACCCGGTACCCATGCCTGAGTTTATTGAGAAGGAGGATGCCCCCTGCTGAAGTCTCTGGGTCCTGCTGGGTCCAGAGCAATTGCATACAGCCAGCAGGGCAGCCCGTCTGGCCATCCCAGAGCCAGGTAATTAATATCCTGTCGAGAAAACATATAGGCTTAGCCGCTGGAAGGGAAGACTTGGATGTTCGTTCGGTGGCTGAATTAAAAAATAACTTTGATCTCTCCTTTCTGTCACAATCTCCAGAAGGAGAGAAAGCACAGGCATGTAGAGTCTGTGCAAATGGGAACATTCATAACACAATTTATCAAAAACTTTAGCCTAGTGACTAGGTATACTGACAATGAAAAATTTGAAGACCCGGTTATTTTGTATTTGAAATAATAAAATTAACTGGATTTTCTTTTTTAACTTTTTGTATCAATGTTAGTTATATGACAGCCTTGGCTATGATGGCATCTATGCCTATTTCTGAGCAATCACATTGTTCCAGAAAACCACTATTTACAAAGGTTTAGGCTGGGCAGGTGGCAATCTTTCTTTATGCGACTTGCTGCTTTCTCTCTGAGTCATAATCTTCCTCAGCCTGCAGTTGTAGGCAGTGATATAGTATAATGGTTAAAGACTAGGATGCTGCGTGACCCTAGGCAAGTTGCTTTCCTTCTCTGATTTGTACACTGGGGATGCTAATAACTGCATCCATGAGTTATGAGGCTCAAATGCCAGATAACTACTTAAAGCAGCCAGCACAATACCTGCACTAACTGTTCTGTAAATGGTACCTATAGAGCACTTGTGTGTCCTGCCTATTAGGAGTTTATCTGAACCCCTCACAGGGAGGGGTTGCATCAATCACAACAGACTGACATGAAACAAGAGCAACAGATACACAACAGACAGCATGTAGGTAAATACCTAAGATGTGTTAAGGAGGGAGTATAGGTGAGGAAGGAAGGCAGAGGACCGGGTTTCTGGGCCTGTTCTGTTACCAGCATCCTCTGTGACTTGGGCAAGTCAATTCGCTTCCCTGGGACTGAGTTCTTACCTATAAATGGTTTGGACCAGATGAACTCCTATGGCCTTTCCCCTCTATCATTCCCCAACTGTGTCTCTCATTTGGTTCTTCAGAACAAAGGAAAACTCAGGCTCGCACTCCTGGGGTCCCTGGGCATGGGCAGAATTTCACCTTGGCCAAGCAGAGGTTGAAATAGAGCAAACTGGCTCCTGTCCCCACCTTCTGGGCCAGTCCTAAAATACCCTTCTGTCTACTCACTGGGTTTCCCAAACTATAAAATGGAAATACAGACACTTCACTGTCAAGCCATGTGGGAGTAGTAAAAATTAGCTAGATTAGTATCTCTCTTTAAAAAAGAGTTTCGAAAAATACAAAAAAGCCCCTGGGACTTGGCCTGGAGAAGAAACCAAGGAACAAAAGGCATTAATCCATTTTGCAGCCCATGGGTGCTCAGGGAGAGGCAGGCAGCAGCTCCATCTGCATTGTGTGCCACTGGCTGGTTTCGCCTGTCAGAGTCTCAGGCTGATGTGGCATCCCTTCCACCCTGAAGATGACATCTATGACTTGCAGAAAATATGGGCTGAGCCCCAGTTCACTCCTCAGTGAAACGGGGGGAGAGGTAAACACACACACAAGAGAGCTCTGGGACATCAAATGAGAAAGAGAAAACATAATGTGGAAATCCACAGCCCCTTCATAGGGACACAATTTGTGGTTTCCAAGACCATTTAAAGTCTTGTTCTCATCTCCCTTGGTAGCTGTTTGGTTTCCATGGTGATGTCAGGACAACCACAACTCGCTACACTATGTGTCTGGAACGGAGTACAGGGCAGTGTGAGAATAACACAGAATCTGGGCAGGAGAGCAGACCTCAGTCAAGCCCGTGCCACCCACATCAGGCTGAAGAGTCTGATTGAGGATGGCCAATTGTGCCAACACCCCCAGGGTGCACCCTTCCTGCTGGACCCCAGAGCACCTGCAGTTCATGAGAGTATGCCAGTTTTCCTTTTCCAGAAAGCCTAAAAGTGGGACCTCCAGGAGCAGAAACTCACTTTAATATCATTCACCAACTAGCACGACTGAACATAAGGAAATCCCTGCCAAGATCCCAGCCGAGGAAATATACTAATAAAATGCACCCCTGGGCCGGCCCGGTGGCGCACTGCTATAGTGCGCCGCTTGGGAAGCGCGGTGGCGCTCCCGCCGAGGGTTCGGATCCCACATACAGACCGGCTGCTCACTGGCTGAGCGAGGTGCGGGGGCAACGCTGAGGGTTGCGATCCCGTTGCCGGTCCCGGTCCGGTACGGGCGCGACACTGAGGGTTGTGATCCGTTGCCGGACACACACACACAAAAAAAATGCACCCTGGGTTGCACATTTCCTGTGGCCCAGGGCCTGTGCTAAGCAGTTTGTAAATATCATCTCATTTCACCTACACAGTGACCCATGAAGTAATTACCACTACTGTCCCTGTGTTATAAATATAGAAACTGGGCTTCTTAAAGACCAGGTGACAGGCTCAGGGTCACATAGCTCATAAGTGGTAAAGCCAGATCCAACTCTTCTAAACCAGTCATTCTCAAAATGTGGCTCTGACCGTCACTTGGGAACTGGTTAGAAATGCAAATTATTAGACCCTCCTGATGACACTCTGGGTAAGGCCCAGCTGTCTGTTTTGACAAGCCCTGCTGTGTTTTGTCAGGTGATTCTGATGCATAATCAAGGGTGAGAACCACTGTAAGTCAAATGCTGGTTCCTATCACTTCCTACTCTACAGGTTCCTGAACTTTGCTACGTGTTAGAGTCTCCTTAGCATAATGTGCTCCAAGTTCATCCATGTTGTAGCAAATGGCAGGATCTCCTTCTTTAAGGCTGAATAATATTCCATCAGACGCATACAGCACATTTTCTTTATTCATTCATCTGTCGATGGACCTGTAGGTTTTTTTCCATGTCTTTGCTATTGTAAATAATGATGCAATGAATATGGGATTACAGATATTTCTTTGTGATCCTGATTTCAGATCATCTGGATATATACCCAGAAATGGGATTGCTGGATCATATAGTACTTCCATTTTCAATTTTCTGTGGAACCTTCACACTGTTTTTCATAGTGACTGTACCAATTCACATTCTCAGCAACACTATGCCAGGGCTCCCTTTTCCCCATATCCTCACCATCCCTCATCTTTTGTTTTCTCAGTAACAGCCGTTCTAACAGGTGTGAGGGGATATCTCATTGCAGTTTTGATCTGAATTTCCCTGATGATTAGTGATGTTGAGCACCTTTTCATATACCTGTTGGCCATTCGTATGTCTTCTTTGGAGAAATGACTATTCAGGTCTTTTTCTTTTTTTTTTTTTTTTTTAACTATTGAGATGTAGGAGTGCTAAATGAAATAAGCCAAACACAGAAAAACAAATACAACATAACCCCACTTATACTGGGAATCTAAAATAGTCAAACTAATAGAAGCAGAGAGTAGAATGGTGGTGACCAGCAGCTTGGAGCAGGGGAATTGGGAAGATGTAGATATCTACCAGAAATCTACGGCAGAGCAAAATGCCTCTAGTTCACAACACTATATTGTTATATACCAAAAAACCGAATACCTGAAAACAAGAGGGTAGCATTTATGTTAAATGTACTTACCACAAAAAAAGAGAGAGAGAAGGGGAAACTTTTAGAGATGGTGGTTAAGTTTATGACATCGTTTATGGTGATGGTTTCAAAGGCATATACTAATCTTCAAGCTTTTCCAGATGTATGCATTAAATGTGTACAGCTTTTTTATATGTCAATCATATCTCAATTAAAAAATTATAATAATAATTTTAAAAAGAATCTCCTGGGAAGTTTTAAAAATTCGAACACCCAGGTCATTCTGCATACCACTTAAGTCAGGATGTCCAGGGGTGGCAACCAGACTTCAGGGTTCTGTAAAGATCCACAGATGATTCCAACATGCATCAGTGTTTGGGGACCACATCTCTACCTAAAGGACCTTCTCAGATGAGGGCTCATCTCTGAGGTGCATCCACGGGAGCTCAGAGGCCAAGACATCTAATGGGTATTCTCTTTTCAGAATTGCATCCTGATCCCTATGCATATTAGCTATTTTGGATGGTCTCAGAATGTTCCCCAGCCCCTTTTCTCCTTCCCCAAATATTCAATTAACAAGTCCAGAATTTTGAGTAACAAACTTCTCTCTTTTTAAATAAAAGAAACATTAGTATTTGAAATAATGGTGTGGCACCAGCTTTCTAAAACCCACCCCAGGACATCACTCCTAATTACTTAGACTGCAAAGTTTGCAAGACCTCAAATCACTAAAAGTGAATACACACCATGAGTCAGGAGACCAGACGTGCAGAAAGATAAGCTGTGTCTGTAATTAAGAGTCCAGAGCAAGTTATAGCTCTTCATTTCTAACTTCATGGTGTCTCTTCCATGCAGTGCTCCCTCCCCTAACCCTGCAGCCCTGTGACAAGCTCTAGTCCCAGACCTCATCATCTTAGGCCTGGACTGTAGCAGTGTCCACCCAACAGGTCCTTCTGCCTCCAGTATCCAGATAAGTGTGCTCCCTCCCCTAACCCTGCAGCCCTGTGACAAGCTCTAGTCCCAGACCTCATCATCTCAGGCCTGGACTGTAGCAGTGTCCACCCAACAGGTCCTTCTGCCTCCAGTATCCAGATAAGTGAAAGACCATGAGCCAGGAACACAAAAATGCCCAAACCTGTTCTCAAATAAAGGGACCCAAAGCTCACCCTGAATAGAGGTTGTAGGAAGTTTAGGCTGGACCAGGAAGGGAGGGAGGACAACCTGAGACAATTTCCAGAAGAGAAACCAAAACACAAAGATAAGCAGAAAACCCAAAGGGGCAGCACTCCAAATTGATTTGGTAGAGAAACAGATTCCAGGAGCAGTGCAAGAAGATAGAAACTGGATGCCAGACATGGAGTGGGGGAAGGAATCAGGAC